CAAGACCTACATGTGTGTGTGTGTGTGTGTGTGTGTGTGTGTGTGTGTGTGTGTGTGCTTGTGTGTGTATCCCCACCCCTTGTTAAAATGTAGCTGGGTATTTCTTTAAAAATTGAATTAAACTGCATATACAATATTTAGACACGTTAGATATTTATATTTATGTATATTATATATGTAATAAAGCCCCTTCCCTTTCAAATATAGCTTTGTAAGGAAATGGAAGGGGAATGAAATGCCCACCAATAACGCTCCCCCCTCCCCAAATTAAACCAGGTAACTAAGAGAGCGAAACCAGGAGGGTTTAGACCAGTGTTGCTCCACCGTAGCCCTTTTAAGATGGGTGGACTTCAACTCCCAGAATTCCCCAGCTAGGGAGTTCTGGGGGTTGAAGTCCACCCGTCTTAAAAGGGCTACGGTGGAGCAACACAAGGGAGACATGGGGCCCTCTGCTTCTCTCCAATTCTTCTCCATCCCGATGGCGGCATATCAGGCTGAGGTTGTGGGTGGGTGGGCTTCCAAGTAGATTGTGTGTCCCCCCCCAACTACGGGCAGAAATCACACTCCTTTTCCCACATCTTCTCCAGGAAAGGCTAAGTGGTCTCTCTTACAGCCCCCTTTTCAGCGTGAGCGAAGATGCTGGTTTTAAAGCTGTCTCAAGGGGGCAGGTAGCCCCCCCCCCAAATGCATAAGGACACAAAATACACACACACATACACAATTTAGGAAGCAGCACCTTCCACCCAGGTCAATTTCACAGGAGGGGAGGGGGAGGCGATGCTGCAAAATGCAAAGGCCCATCCGAAGTACACGGCTGATGCGGGGGAGACGGATACCCGTAATATATATTTCCCCCCTCCCGGAGTTTTGGGCTAAAATGAGGGGAATCGAATTAACCAAGAAAGCAAGATGGACCTCGCAGGATTAAAATTGCAGAATTTTTTTTGTGTTTTTCCCTCCGAGCTCAATTGCGTTGGGAGACCGTTACCTGGATTTTGCTTTTAATTTTAATCTCCTTTCCCGCAATGAAAGGCTGCACGCCCCAGGTAGGAAATATTTTATAAACAGCTGTGTGGCAAAAGAGAACCTGGGGATGAAATATACCGTCAATGGTGCCCCCCCCCCATCACTCACTCTCGGGAACAGCGCTGGAACCCTCTTTGCCAGGAGGATGAATTTCTTTTTCAATCTCGGGCGGGTGGAATCCATGGGAAATTTCCTGCCCCCCACCCCAAGACAGGGGTCAGCAACCCATGACTCTGGAGCCGCCTGTGGCTCTCGAGCCGCTTGTGGCTCTGGAGCCGCTTGTGGCTCTTTTATCCCTCTTTTATCCCTGGAGGGGCTCCCTGTTGAGAGGAGCTTCTGATGGGGGGGGGGGAACAGGGCACGCCTGGAGGAGACTCTATGGCGAGAGGCAGGTTTTCCGATCAGCTCTACCATTGATAGGGCTTTCGGTTAGGACAGGTAGAGGAAAAAGGACTTCCGGTCGGCTTCAGAATTGAATGGGGGAGCTTCCAGTTAGGACCTTTGTGGTTCTTTTGAGTATTTAAGGTTGCCCCCAAGAAAAGGGAAATGATTGCATTGACCTAACCAGCCTCACTTTTGGGTTGAGAGAGAATCCTTCCACCTTAGATTATTTTGCAGGTCAACGGTTTAACCAGAGTGAAAATAGTGAAACTTCAAGACAGCTTGGGGGGTGGTCCTTTTGAGGGGGGGGAGTCAGAGGGAGTGGAGGGGAAGAAACCTTTATGTACTTTTTAC